GTAGCACTTGATGTTACTATGGAAATGTCAGAGGAGTGAAGCATATGTTGATGATGCTGTTGCTGCTGATGATGATGGTGTTGCTGGTGTTGCTGGTGTTGCTGTTGTTGCTGCTGTTGTTGGTGGGCAGCGGCGGCCGCTGCGGCAGCCTGCTGTTGTTGCTGTTGTTGTTGCTGCTGCTGTTGGCTAAGCTTGGACTCTTTCTTGATGCGTTGTTTTAGATGAACCTTAGCATGTCTTTTCTTTTCATCAGATCGAGCGAATTTTCGTCCGCATATATCGCAAGAGAACGGTTTTTCGCCAGTATGCGTGCGTATGTGGGTGGTTAAGTGATCCGAGCGACTGAAGGAGCGCATGCAAATGCGACATTGGAATGGTTTCTGGCCGGTATGTATGCGTATATGGCGGGTTAATTCATCGGAACGTGAAAAGCGACGATCACAATTTTCTACAGGACAAGCATAAGGTCGTTCGTGTACAGGCGTTTTACTAGGCCGATTAGGATATTTGCGCGGTTTGACGGGGACTAGCTTTAATGGCATTGCACTCTGTTGATAGACTTGCGACAATATTTCGTGGCCCTTACTAGTGGAAGGTGAATATTCAGCCAGTTGTACTACTGTATAAGAGCTTTGGGCTCCTGCACTCACTGCCGTTGCCGTACTTTGGATGTGATGGGTGGGCGTTTGCGCAGGTTCGGCATAAGCTTCTTGCTTAGGTATGATTCCACCACCTAAAGCTGCGCTGGACGAAGTTGAAGAAGGTCCTGGTAATACTAATGTGGTAGACTGAGTAGTATTACCATATTCAGCTGGAGAATCAAGCCATTGATATTTAGGTGTAGACACAGACATTTGTTGGCGATATTGCTGCAAATCATGCGCTGTTTGAGACTGTTGCATATCGGCTAATGTCGAAAAACTGGTCGTGCTTGTATAACTAGGTGGAGCCGCTTGCTTAAGAATAATAGGAGAACAATCCATTTGCAATCCCAACAGCTCAACATGACGTCCGTCATCGTAGGCAGACCCAGACGATGCTGTGTGCATATGTTGCGCTGAATTTGGTGAAGGTGTAGAGGTGGGAATGCTGCTTGCATGATGTTGTGCGGCATAATGAGCTTGAGTGGCTACGGCATTTTGTGGCCCGGGACCCAACAGGCTAAACATGGGGGGTTGAAAGAGAGTCTTGTCGGGACTCGGCAAGTTCCAGCTGTTGCCTAAGCCCGCCGATGGAGGCGACATTTGACCAGGCATTATACTCAATGAGGGTGAATGCATTTGCGTGGATTGAGTATGTTGTTGTTGTTGATGTTGCTGTTGTTGTTGCTGTTGTTGTTGTACAATTCCAGATGAATTAATACCGCTCATCGCGGTGTTACCTGTGGTGGTGGTAAAAATGCCACGATATGATATTTTACCGCTACTACTACTATTTGCATGCTGTTGATGTTGTTGTTGTTGTTGTTGCTGATGTTGATGGTGTGATAAATGAGGTAATGGCTGGTGTTGTTGTTGTTGTTGTTGATGATGATGATGTTGGTGATGATGGTGGTGGTGATGATGGTGGTGCGCATGTTGCTGTTGTTGCTGGTGTTGATAATGTTGTTGTTGTATATGATGATTGTGTTGCTGTTGTTGTTGTTGTTGTTGCTGCAGGTGTAAATGATTGCTTGACTGTATTTGGTTTTGTTGCTGTTGTAATTGATGCGCTTGTTGTTGTTGTTGGTAGTGTTGTTGTTGATGATGGTGATGGTGTTGTTGTTGTTGTTGTTGTTGTTGTTGTTGTTGTTGGTGATGCTGATGTTGTGTTGGTGATTGTTGTCCACTAACATGCTGACTGTGGTGCTGTTGATGATGGTGATGATGTGTTGTTGTATGACTCTGTGTTGTTGTATTTGTATTATTTGTTCCTAATGTTGTGTTGCTGGTGGTTGTAATTTGACTTAGATGTTGTTGCTGTTGTTGTTGTGGTGTGGTAGTGGAGGTGGGGTACATAGTACAACTATTATTACTTGTCTCTTCCTTAACAATGGCCAAAGTGGGCGGAGTACTGCGTTCCTCTTTCAAAGGACTGCACAACACCGGACTGGCGGCCACTGTTTGCGGTTCCAATGATAAATCTTCAGATTCAATAGAACCTAGAAGATAAAAAAAAAAAAAACAAAAAAAAAACCCAGTAAAAATTAAAACAAATTTTACAGAGAAAAAATTGAGTACAATTGAAAGTTCAGGAAATAAAAAAAAAATTTTAATTAAAAGGTGCAACGATTTTTTCTTTTAGTCAATCTACAAGATTCGATCTTTTCTCTTAACGTCATACTTTTCTGACTCCATTCGTAGTAATACATCAAGTGCTTTTGTGAGTTAAGTGACAAAAAAATTCTGCGAAGTTTGCCACCAAAGTGACAGCCTGCCAATGAGGCAAAAAAAAGTGAAATCAGTTAAAAAAAAAAAAGCGGGAGAGAATGCTTGACAAAAAACCGTCAAGTTGCTTGCAGCAACTACAGTTGATAGTGCTTATGGTGGTGGTGGCTTCGCAAACAGCAACAATTTTAAATTCTTAAGAAATCACATCACGGGAGGTCGGTCGTTTACAGCATACGATCAATTACGTTCTCAAGAACAAAAACCCAAGACATGAACAAACCAAACAAACGAAAAAACATTAACAGCAACAAACAGTAAAACCAGAAGCATTCAAGTTGCAAGCTAGCGGCAAAAAATCGAGAACATAAACAATAAAGTGTCGGTTAAACTGATTTCAAATACGAGCGAATCGAAGTCTTTGAATATAGTTGACTCGGTTTGGCTGTGATCTTATTTAGATCTGCTTTTTTTAAAGTTTTTTTCATCCTCTTTTTTTTTTTTTTTTTTTTTTTCTTTGGTTTTTCAGAACTAAAGAATCACAGATACCTTCAATAGAGTCGCGAGTGCACTAAGCAGGATTGTTGATGTTCTTACAGTCAAGTGATTGAGTTACCGTGATGTTAATGTGAAATGACATCAATCTCAACTTTTTCCCTCTTCTTCTTTGCGAGGGGCAGAAAGTCGTAGAATATTTGCAATGTTAATGGTCATTTGTCGGTTTGTTGCTGGTCTTCCAACTATTGATGATGACTTTATTTATAGGCTCATCATTCAGGTTTAGCTGTTTGTTTTATTGACACATTGCATCCAGCCGTCATTGGCAATGTCAACGTTAACGTAACACAACTTTATCACACGAAGTTTTTTTGTTCTGCTTTGCTTTCATTGTTATTATTGCGGATTATATATTGTCTACAAATTACATAATGCCTGAGAACGAATGCAATACAAGAACTCAAACATACATGAATATACTGCACACTCGCTATGCATGATGATAAGGAATATAGAAAAAAAAAAAAAATAATTGCAGTTAATTTACATTTAATACGAAATATAGTCGATGGGAATATTTGCAATATTTCTTTTTGCTTTTCTTTTTCGAAAATCTTAATCAATCGTGTTTTAAGTGGTTATTAAAGTCAATGATAAAAATCGTTTCGAAAACGTTTCAAACGTGTGACTTGACGGACAACGGATTTCGGCTGTAGGAGGTTGTGTGAAATGCTTTAAACATCTGCTAACCAGAGATTATGTTAGCTATTCTCTTATGCACATGCGGTTTCATTACTAACTACATGTTATGATATTCATTACATTACAAACTATGTGACCCATAGGCCATATGTCCATCAATAAATTCCAAGGAAGTTATATTCGGCAGCTGCGAGACGGTTCTTGTGGATTTTATTTATACCCCATACACCATATGTGGTACAAGGGAAGGGATTTGTGGTATAGAAAGTTTGTGCGGGTGTATGCAAGAACTTTAGATAGATCTTCCTCTTATTAGACCGGCTGATTTAGAATAACTTGCTGAATCGATTTAAGCTTGTCCGTCCCCCTATCTGCCTTATGCACTTGTGTTCAACGTACCCGCTGCAATTTTTGACATACTTTGATGAAATTCGATTGGCGTGTTGCGACTCACGAACGAACGCTATAGAAAATGGTTCGAATCAGACCACGTTTTCGATCACTTCGATTACTTGTTTTTAATGTTTCCTACAAACCCAAATTATTTGTAAATTCGGTTCGCTATTTTTCTGACTTAACCTCATCGGTTTTTAAATTTCAAAAATTAAGTGTAAATTTTCATTGTTGTTCCTTTTTTTGTTTTAATTTATACCAACAAAGCAATCAAACATGCAAACTATAATTAATTAATTAATCATTTATTAAACATTTCCGTTTAGAGTGTCAATGTTTCAAGTAAAGTTTTATCGTACAACCACATAGTACAATAACAAGTAAGTAGAAGAAATAGTATCACAAGCATAAAAAAAAAATCATGATAATTAAATAATATTTAACATGAGAATTCCTTTAAATAAACAACGGCGTAAACATAGACGTACAAATGATGATTTAATGATATTGAAACTAAGCAAACGCAACACTAACTAAACAAATTATACAACACCACTACACCATTAGCAATTCTTTTGATGCGGCATCATACAGCTGCAGTTTGAATATTACGTTTCACTCTCTATTCCAAGTTGTGATAAGTAATTGAATTAATGAACACGAAAAAAAAAAAAAAAAAACAAAAATAATCCAAAAAAAAACATGAACGTATCACAATATCAAACAACCCTATGGCGGATATCGCGATGTATCATCGCGACAAAAAAAAAGGAAACTTGTGTTCGATTACAGTTGAGTCCCTTGACGTGTGTGTGTTTTTTTTTTTTTTTTTTTTTTGATAAAATAAAAGAGAAATGGTAACGAAAAGTGATCAGAAATTAATAAAAAGACTTTAGATTAGGTAAGGGAAAAACTTTGCGCCGTTTCCCACAATAGGTCGCTTTCAAGTTATATCGCCACGATAACGATAGCCCGATTAGGTAACACTATAGCGCCTAAGAAAGATAACGTGCACAATTCGGTTTTACAACCACCGCGCTTATCTTAACAAAGATTGAAAAGCGGAAGAACTAAATTGCCGCATACCTTAAAATATCCAGTGAACGCGGCTGATCGTATCGGCTCTTTGCTGATATCGGGCTGTTGGTGATAAATATTTATCGTATCCCTATTGTAACTTATGACTAATGAGCTAAAATAACTAAAAAGCTCGGAGATTCTGAGTTTATGCTGCACCTTGGGTGTGCCTCTCGACCATTTTCAGCACCAACTTGCGCGCAAGAACTACCAAGCATATCGCCAGTATTGAGACGGATAACTTTAATTTTCTGGTCTACTGAAGTTAGTTTATAACATAAGGGAGATGTGTTTGAGATAACGCTGCAAGGAAAGTACTTTTCCCCAACATTCTAATCTCTTAGTTATAATCCAATTGAATTTAAGATGAATCACAAGACGAAATTTTGAGAACGAAACACACAGACTGACGCGTAAAAACATTTGCAACAATGTGTGTAAAGTATAATTAAATTAAATTAAACTGCTAATAATTATATCTAATTATTGTTAAAGCTATATTTACCTCGTACATGTGTGTTTTGTGTTTTTTTTTTGATTTTCGAAATTTCTTATATATTTTTCAAATAACGTTCAGTGAATTTATTTTTTTGATTTTTCATATAACGCGTATTTTATGCTGAAAAATCACTAAAAATATAAAAACTCTTATATTTTATAAGCAATTTATTGCACGCACACACACACACACACACACACAGCCACGCACACATACACACTAGCTTATTAGCACTTATTAACTTTTCAGCAAATAAGAAAAAGAGAAGAAGAAGAAGAAGAAGAAGAAGAAGAAAAAAAAACGCTTTTGTTTTGCTTGGTAACGTTATTTATTTATTTTATAAGACTTTGTCAGAGTGGTTTGCTCTCGTTTCAAATTATTTCGTTTTCTTTTTTTTTTGCTATTTGAATATTTTATACATATTGTATTTTTATTGTTTATATTGTGACATTGATAAATCAGTTTTTAATCGTAGAATTTGGCAGACAAAAAGCTATAATTTACGAATTGCATAAAGAGAAGGACGGCAAGTCTTAAGAAGAACAGAAAATGACTTAATGCTCCCCTCAGAGGCCAATTTATGAATGCGTAAGTCTTACAAGAACAATAAGACATAATAAGTTAAATAAATAATTTCTTAAAAGAAAAATATATATCATTTACATGACAAATATTTACACGCATATACATATGTTTATTACATATACATATGTGTGTATGTATAAGAAAAATTCATTAAAAATTCGGCATATTGCCATAAAATTACTAAATATATACAAGACACAAGTTCCATTACATTAGTCGTAGATATTAATTCTAATATATTTGTCTATATATGTAGTGGTGACAGCTACAGAGTAGTAGATGGTAGTAGTATTGCTATATAAGTGAAGGGGTTTCCACATATACACATAACAAACATCATACAGTCACATCGTAAAATTTAAAATGCAATTTCGTGTTATGCTTATCTTCATAGAGATTTCCTTCAGTTCTTTTTTGCATATTTTATGGCTTTTTATCATTTATGGTTTATTTAAGTAAATATAATCCCAACAAGTGCAATTATATTACATATGTATGTATGCTAAGATAGACGGAGAGAGACAAAGAGCCAAAGACATATACGGACCGAAAGACAGACATTTAAATGGGCTCGTGTAATTTTTAAGTATCTGCGTATGTAATTTTATTGCCTGGCTTCTATAAGTATGCCTGTCATTATAAATAATATGATAATAAAATAAAAAATAAATAAATAAATAAAAAATAAAAAAAAAAACTTTTCTATTCATTTTCTTCTCTCTTCTGTTAAATTAAAAAAAAAAAAAAAAAAAAAATTATATAATTAATGTTTTCACTTATTGATGGAAAGAAAGAAACAAAAATGGATGTAATGTTAATAAAGTAAACAGGAAAGCCTCAAATGTCCCACTTGCTTCGTTATTATATTGAATACTCATGACATCCATCAATTGCTCAAGTGTTGTAAGGTGCACAGGCGAAAGAAATTTTCACTATCTCTAACCCGTATTTACAGACTTTTGTTAATCGTTACTTTTAATAATTTTATATTTCTGAAGGCTAGGATTGCAACAATTTTATCGGACAGATTGCATTAACCTTATGTAGTATTCAATATAAGGATGTTTCAGAACCGGTTTCCCTGTGTATATAAAGCACATACATATTTGGGTACATCTCACACGTTTAACATAGAAAACAGTTGTCAATGGCTGTGCCGATTATGAGCGTAAAGTAATTACAACAATACAAATTTAACTAATAACACATTCGACCTTTTCTGATGTCAAATTACTGATAACGCATTACTCAAAAACTCTCCGGCCTGACAACTATTATGGAAGGACTGTTGATAGACACAGGATTTGCAAATGATTTCTACCGATCGTGATATCCTGATGATTAGTTACAAAAAATTCATAGTATTTTAGGTGAAGCTAGTTTTTTGATCGCTTGAGGCGGATTACGCAGGTTGTTGTCCGCCAATTTGGCTCTGGAGTGCAGTGATGATTTCACGTTCCTTCCAAATCCTTTTACTTTGCCTGAACAGCTCCGAAAGTGCTTCTAATCATCAACACGTTGCTGTCAAAAGTGAGCAAACGCGGCATCACTTTTCGACAAAGCTTTCTCATGAGCCCTGATATCTTTTAGGTTTCAAACGTTTAATACAACATCACTTTAAATTCTTATAAAATGATTATGCGCACCTTTTCTCTTTTCCGCAACAACCGTCGATTTTTGACAACGAGCGCGTTCAGTCCGTACGACTTTGTTTAAAATTAACAAACCATTCACAAATTTATTATTTTAACAGAGAAGAATCGCCGTAACATCTTTTCAGCCAACGCTGATTCCGATCCATCAAAAACAATGTTTAATCAACACACGGAATTCAGATTCTTCCATTTTCTGGAAAAGTATAAAAGTAGCGTGAGTTGATTATAAAAGTAACGTTGTTGCTTGTAAACTATTTGTCACAATGTCATGAAATTCGGACACGTATCGTTTGGAGGCTGGACTTATTCAAAACTCGTTCGACAGTCAACTGTGTTGGCGTATACGTGTCGGATCGGAGAGCCATTGAGTGATCTGATATTTATCCTTTTGATTGGGTCAGAACAGCGCCTCTGTTCGTAAAATCGGATAAATTTCATATTAGGCAAAGACACAAAACCGGTTCCAACTATAATAGTGTGATAAATATGGTGATACCAAAATGAATTTAAGGCCCCGTCAGCCTTCTGGTTTTCGTGCAGATTAAATTACAAATATTTATTATTGACACAGGGAGAGTCCGAGAGGAATCGATGGGATAAGAAAGATAGCGATTGAGGCCTTAGCCTCGGAGTTGCATATCCTATCTCTCATTTTTTTAACTTTTTTTATTTTCTTAACTCACCTGTTATAGGCGGCGGTTCCACAACCGTTGATGGACCGAAAAAGGATGGGATGTCGCTGGATGTTGTGACTGGTGTGTTCAGATCGCCGGATTGAGCTTCAATGTGAGCTTGTTTAATATCTACACTGTCTGCTACTGAAGATACGCTGGCTCCTGCGATTGGACTGTGTTGAGTGGTATTTAATAAGCTCAAATGTGAAGCGGAACTTCGACCACTGGTAGTAGTTGAAGAGCTACCCCCGCCGCTGTTTACGCTAACGGCCGCACTAGCTATTGAGGGGCCAGCACCGTGCAAAGGCGGACTCTGCAAATGTTGTTGAGTTTCAGCAGCCACTGAAATGCTGCCCAAACGCGTCGTTTGCGACCGCAAAGAATTTAAAATGGAGTTACTACTGTTCGCTGAAGAAGAAGCGGCGTTCGGACTTGATGCGGCGCCCGCCGATGATGATGAAGATGAAAGCGTAGCGGCCGGATTCGAAGACAAATTGTAATGTAACAACGTTTGAGAGCTTAAATGGCTGCCACCAAAATTTGAGGGATTACTGAGGTAGGGAGCAGCCGAAGTCACCGCTGTTGAGGGACTTGTAGGTGCAGTCGTTTTAAATAGACATGTGTCGAAACTTAAAACATTAAAGTGCGCCGCTGCAGCCGATTCGGTCAGCAGGAATGTGTGATGCGATGGCGCCACCAGGGTTTCAAGCCCTTCCATGATCATGGCCGCTGATGGGGTTCCAGGGGCTACGCCACCTTAAAGTAGATAATAATGGGAAAAGCATTTTATTACAAACTATTTTCTTTATTTATTTATTTATTTTCAATTTAGTTTAATTGGTTTGCTTGGAGAAAAATATTGCATAACACGACTCTGAAATTGAACAACTTATGTGCATGTGTTTGTAAACTGACAATTTAAACATAAAGATCACAAACCTATTGTACACCCACACACATACAAGAGCACTAAATGTGACAGCTGTCATTGAGAATCGTAAACAATTAAATTAAAATCGATTAAACATTTTGAAAAAAATTCTTTTTATTACCAACTTTTTTCTTTTCTTTTTTTTTTTTTTTAAAGTTCAACTAGACACACCACACGATTGATAAACAACACATTAATAATAATGAAGAGCACGATGATCATGATGATGTGACGGTGGTGATACCGGTCGGTGGTCAGTAAACGAGAAAAAATTATCAAGTCACAGTTCTCATAGCATAAAGTAATATACACTACTGACACAGTTTGTGTTTCGGTTGCCGTTGGTTGTGGTTCAATTGAAAATCGAATAATGTTTCGACAAATATTTTTGTCGGCTGGTGGGAACAATTTTTATTTGACACGGAATATGTGTGTTGGTATACTTAGCGATCTTTTTCGAGAAAATTTAATTTTTATATTTTCTTATATATATATATATATATATATATATATATATGTATGTATGTATTTTATATACATTCTTTTTTTGTCTTTAAAACTTTTATGAACACTCATTAAAATTTGTACACGAAATATTTCGCAAATAATTTTTAACGCTTATGCTAAACATTTGTTAAGCAATTAATTGAATTCTTCCTCTTTACATATTTAAGAAAGATATATGTGCATGTGTACGCTCTTCGCATGTACATGTATTCAAATTCACGAGAGTTGGATCTAGTTTCACCTTTGCTGCTAGTTTTCATGAAAAAGAGAGAAATAGATGACATAAGAAGCTCAGCTTCGCAATGATCATCGTCTTTGACTTATTCATAATCATAAACGTCGTCTACACAGATATATGTGCATCTGTGCACACATCTCTGTATGTAAGTATGCCTTAATGCTAATGTTATGCTTAAGCTTTAATGAATTTTACGCTACGTTTATTAGACACGAGCCTGTGGTCTTTGTCTGCGCCATTAAAAAAAAAAAATTCATATCTTAACTGCGCCAACACTCTGCTAAAGCAAGCATAACAAATATCAAAAAGACATTATTATCTTTAGCTTTAAGATCTCTTCAAATGTTTTTGCATACACATATACATACATATCACGATAGACTCTTCATTCCATGCCCTTAGCCACTTAGTCTCCATTATATTATCGTCATTCAACTCTTTACCCTCATAATGGTCGTAAAATATGAGAAAGTGTGAGTTTTCAATAAAATAAAATAACCCGAACGCAACACTCGACCATATTAAATTCGACTTTGTTTTTTATTATGCCCTCTTTCGCAGTACACTTTTAAAGAAAGTGTTCGAATGTTGTTTTTTGTATTTCTGATTTCCTTCACAGCACTTCAAGTACGTTCAATGATAGCGACTAAGTGCTAAACGTTACTACCGTTTAATTAATTGTCATTCTAAATAATCTCTTCTTTCGATTTCACTAGAATTGTTTGTTTGGAAATATGGCATTTAAACCTAAGCTAGAATGAGATCAAATGTCTTAAGCGTGTGCGAAAAATTTTCCATAAGGAATGAAAGCATAAGTTTTCAGAGTCTTACTCGACCGTTCATTGTTGTTCTTCAAGTTATCTTTCATTTTATATATGGGCAGCCATTCAAGGAATGTTCGCTATACGCGTACGATGGGGGTCGGAAAGGGTTGTAAACAGAGAGGGATGGAAGGAGAGAATGGTGTTTGTGTGCGTTTGATTTAAATGTGGAAACATCAGGCACGGTGGAAAACGACCCTGCTAGTAGATCGTTCCAAAGGTGCGTAGTGCGATTAAGGAAGGACGAGCCGTGGTAATGTGCCGTGCTATTTACAGGCAATTGCAGGACGAGTGGATGCGGGAAAGCCTTACTATCCTGTTAAAAGGGTAAACTGGTGGACAAATCTCTTTTATCTCTGCAGAACGCTTGCTATCGAGAATAGTGAACGCGTTTGCGGCGCACAAGACCATCTGAGGCTTTCGCTGAATGCGGTCGAGTGTCTCCAAGCAAAATTTGGAGTATGACTTGCATGGTTTAAATGATATGGATGTCGGCTGAAGTGCTTTAAAAACCTAGGCCCTAGGTATCTTAATTTTTGATCGGATTAATCAATTAATAAAATCGGATGGTAATAAGCACGTATTGTCTACCTTCTCCTTCCCTGTAATTCAAATTTTGCGAGTTTTCAACGAATGTGCCTTTCTTGACTTAGGCAGCGGTAAAGATCAAGAATTGGTGATGTATTCCTCTGGAGCGTTATAAATGCCTCAAGGGGCTTCACAATGCTGATAAATGTTTTATGCTTTGTATTTTTAGGTGCGGTAGGAATCTTTTAAGTAAAGAAATTGTTAAGTGATAACTACGCTCAAAACTTCTTCAAAAAAGTATTTTGTTAAATTTTTTTTTAAATTGTTTGAAATATTTTTGAAATTTTCGGATGGAAGACGCGTATACAGGAAAGAAAATCTCAAATCTTCAAATATGTGAACATTCATTTTTGAATTTTTTACTCACACGCATCCGTCTTATATCAAAAAATATAAAATCCAGCAAACATGTATAAATAATATTTATATGCAAATATTTATAAAATTTATAATTATTTGCTTAAATAAATATTCATTCATAACAAAGCGAAAAAAAAAAAATATAAAAATAAAAACTAAAACGGTTCGACAAGCCTATAAAAGTATTAATTTATGTAAATCTCCGTCAAAAGAAACCATTAACGTTCTAAAGTGAAAAAAAAAAGATTTTAAGAACAAAAACATGACACGTAAGCTGTCAAAACAACAAAAAATTCATTCATAAGTTTCCTTTTTCTTTTACTTGATATATGCTGGTAGTTTATTAAAAAAAGAAAAAAAAAAACAAAATCAAGTTTACACAATTTATCCAATTTAAAGAAGGATAGCAGGGAACGAAAGGCGAAAGAAGCCCATGTAAATCCATATATCGAGAAATAATAATCAAACAATGAACGATGGATGGATGGGTTTTTTTACTTATCATTCTCTTTTTCAAAAAGTAAGAAAATGCAGAAAACTACACGTTAATGGATAACGTTTTGGGTACTTGCAGCTTTTTTTGCTTAAGGCACGCATCTGGTGTATACACGTGTTAGTATATATTAATATAAATTATGGAAACAAATTTAAACCGCTTAAGCTGATTCGACCCCGCATTGAAAGTCCTGGCAGTTGCATAGCTCAACGATAAGTCTTCTCTTTGTAGACTAATGGCAGGTATAGCTCTGAATGTGTCCACTTTAGCTTATTTTTTTGACTTTAAACTTTTGACTTTAGACTGCAGTAGCGAAAAACATCTCTCTCAATTTTCTGCCCGCACTTTATTGTTCGTGACAGTTTCAATGACTTCGATTTTAGTCTAAACATGGGCTTGGGAAAGAATGGCACTTTAGGGAACGATGATTCGATCCGGCAAGCCATTGAGTCCATCTCACTTTGGGGCTTGAAAATACGTTCGCAAAAAAATTTCACATTGGTTTCAAAAAGTTTTTCAAAATCTTTGCCAATTCCGCAAACAACATGTTCGTGAAAGTGTACCGCTGATCTTTGAGGGTGACTGAGAAAACGTTATCAACGATGCTGTGTTGTTTTAAAGGCAATTGACACTCCTTTATTATTGCGGTGGTGTAAGAATAAAATTTTTTCCCTCTTTTTTCTTCATTTTGCTTGAATGTCTTGGCAGACAAAACTTGTTTTCTTCCGAATTAACTTGTCTATAAAATTCTGCATTGTGATGTTAGAACATAGCATCTGTGTATGCTCGCGCGGGCGCTTGTGTGTGTGTGTGTTTGTGTATATATGTGGTTTTAATAAAGTCTAAAAACTTATGTATAAGTTTATAAGCTTATGAAGTCATGTAAATATGTAAATTTGAATGTCTCTGGATTCGTTTTATTATATTTACATACATAGGTGTACAAATAATTAATGAAGATTTTGTAATAAAAACGAAAATAATTTCGATTTCGAGGCAACCAACGGAAATGCTCGCTTTGTAGAGGGCTCTCGCTTCCTAGTTAGAAAGTGTCGCCGCTAATTGTGAGCTTTCCTCTCTCAAACCACTGTTGCACATCTAATTTCTTAAAACCGGAGTTCCTCTATTTTCAGGTCGACTATCCCTTTCACGATTGAGTTTTCCATTTTTTTCAATTTAGTTCCACATCACAGCGCTCTGTGGTCTAATCTCCGGAGTGAATTAACATTCGCTACATCCTCCTTTACGAACGCCTACTTTTTAAAAACATTCTTTTTCGATTGGCAATCGCAAATACGTTCAACTGCAGTAATTCCTTGAGAGGGCAGTGTGAGAGAACGGCATACACGTCAAGATATTTTGCTGTCGATGCTGAAGAAATTCTTAATTATTTGTTTGTACACCTGATGTACATCTCTCCATACATAGAAACTTTTAACCATATGGAGAAAAGAAAAGAAGAGAAAATATTTCTTTCTTGATTTGATAACTACGATATAACTTGGCGTTTATCTTTCCGTTTTTCCATAAACTTTATTATTGTGTTTGAAAGTTCAGAAAGGGTTCAAGCAAGAGAATAAACTTTTCATACTTGACTTTCTCTCATTATAATACCTTTCATATCTTTCTTCTGAATTTACAAATACTTCTTACGGAATCCTTCTTATTTGAATATGCATTATATAGCGAGAAGCATTTTAAGAAATATTTTGCTCTTCACATACGGCCGCAAAGATATCTATCTATAAAAAAGATTAAATCGAGGCAGTGCGTTCTTTTCTCTTAACGTTCTTAATTGACTTTTTATATTTTGTA